CAAACTGTCGGGTTTGAGCCCCGACAAACAATCTGTACAACAAAAGAATCACAGCAAGCTTGAATATTTCTGTATGTGCATCCATAGAAACAGGATTTCACAGCATGTAGGTCTGTTAGCCTGTGGGCTCCAAGCAGCCTCTCACATGGGCTAATGTTCATACTGAACAACACTGGTATGTATATTAAGGCACCTGTGTGTAAGGAGCTCCGGCTCTCTGAAACTTTTAACACTTTTAACACTTCAGGTCACATCTATGCAGAAACACAGGAAATGCTAAAGAGTTCGAGACCTTTGAAACACCATCAAGTATGTGAGAAACAGCCTCGTGTAACAGTGAGATGAATATAAAACAACATTTACAGTACACAGAAAACAAGGTGTGCATGTGAGGACGTCATGCTGTATACTTCTTGTTTAAGGTCCCACTTCCTGACTTTTGTGGAAAACTGTGAAACACTTGTTGAAATTTTAGGGGAAAGTCCCCAAAATGCAACACGGTGATGTCGTTCAGAGACTTCAAAAATAAACATTCTGGGTTTTTCGCTTAAGAATAATAAATAAATAAAAACAGACAGTGGAGGTGGTGCGACTTTATCCCTGCGGGTGAAACTGCACCAAATCCGTTTGCTGACACGCGGACCGAGCGCCACACTTCCTCCTCCACACAGCTCCGTGCATGCATCATGTGCCCAGTCAGTGGAACCGCAGCCGCTTCTCCGACACAAACTGCTGCTCTTCCTCTTCAGAGAGCCGGTTTCCTTTCACGCTGTAGAAACACAATCAGACTGCAGTCATGCATTCACAGGGACAACGTTAACGACGGGTGACAGGGACAAGCTGGACCTAGTGTTGTAGAGGGCATCTCCCTGCTGGTCTGGGTCCACTGTGGATCCAGATCCAGGAGATCAACACGTCCTCCACCAGCGTTACTTCTGGTGGCCTGTACTGGCCCGACACTTTAGATTATGCTGTGTTTTTCTTTCATTCATCATCTGTAATATCTCAATAGACCTTTTACTGATGACTCAATAAATTCTGTCTCAGTTGAACATCTGAATGATGAAGCAGAAATTTCCTGTTTTTTCTACTGAACCTGAAATGACTTGGGACAGCTTAATTCCTCTATTTTATTAGCTCACTGTCCGTTTCAACAGAGGGATGAGGGCCATCAGCAGAGCTACACCCTTTGAGCCCATTTACGTGCTAGTCCATTATTGTAGCATCTACCTTACAGTAGAGGCGCCTGATGATCAGATCAGTGGCTCTCAAACTTTTCACAATGAGCACCACCTCATAAAATCTATGGCTCCATTTTATTTCTTATAAGAATATTATATTTTAACTGTCATAAACAGGATGTGACGTAATGATAATAATAACATCTGTACCACATTAAACCATTCACAGCAGGTGGGATATCCAATCTTTAAGTCAGTGGTTCCCAAACTTTTTTGCTGAGCTCGCCTTTGTTTTACATGAAAAATGTTTTGGTTGCGGTTTATTTCACACTTCAAACATTTAGTAAACAATTAAGAAAATACAAGTAATCTGCAATAAATTACAGGTAGTAATAAAATAAACTATTAACTCTTTTACGCTGCGTCCGCACCAACACGGGTATTTTTGAACACGCAGCTGTTTCGTCCACGTAAACGACGTTTCAAATCAGCGAAAACTGAGATTTTTTAAACTCCTTTTTTGCGTTTCCGTGTGGACGAGGAATACAGAGTTCGTCAGGCAACGTCAAAGGTACGTGCCTTTTTTCACGTCACGCTGTGACCACGTTATTGTTTACATGAGATGAAGAGCAGAATGACAGATAGAGACGAAATACTGTTAATCTGACTGTCTGCAGGTTTTACACAGTTACTGTCCCTCCATTTACAAAGGCAGAGGCGTCACGCTGTGATTATTTTACTGTAGTTGTTTTTTCCTGTGTAATAATATTCAACATTGCTGTCAATACATTTTTCAAAAAATGCCTCTCTGTGCAAAATGGGTTTAAAAACATAAACAGCTGTAGGATCCTGTTTGTCTGTGATTTGAACCGAGGAACAAATCGTGGCAGGATCAGCCTGATGTTATTTGTATCCCGCTTTAACTTTACTGTATTACGGAGCCCCGCAGGGGACATGGGAGAAAAAAAAAATTAAGACGGACTTTTGCAAGATCTCACAAAACAAACTCGGGATCTCGCAAAAGTTGAATTCCAACAATGGCGGCAGCTACTTAGTTGTAATATTACTCTTTCTGGGTCACAAAATA